TTCGCCTGCCTGACATCTCGAAACCTGTGCCTGCGCCTTATTTCTAATCCAAGACTCTTATAAGGACTCTAAAAATTATATTGAAAAAACAAAAAATGACTTGACCTACATGAAAACAAAGTTAACGGAAAAGCCGATAGCTTTTGTTCATTTCTCTTTTTATTTTTAAAGGAGTCGCCGACTTGTTCATTGTCGTATACTTTTCTTTTCTGAAAAAGTCTCTCTTTTGGATCATAAGAATGATCAGGAGAAGAGAGTAACTAGAAAAGCTGGACATATGATAAAGGATCACAAACAAAAGAAAGAACATGTTGAACCTCTGTGCGGCGAACCTCACTGGGATAGGTCAAGCACATAAGTTCAAAGAAGATATGATTGAAATTGCTTGTGCCAAATATCCGTGAAAGAGAGCCAATGAAAACCACCCACAACTAGAGATTCATGTGTGTTTGTCTATTCTAGAGTCCAAAGTGCTCCAAGGAAATCTATCTCACTTGATTAATTACATTTTAAGAGTTTCCTAATAATACCCTTGATATAAAGGAGTTTTGCTTGCATTAGTAGTGACGACTAGTATAGTGCTGTCAAAGAATGGTTATTTCGCATGAGAATGCTCCGATGCTTTCAAAGCTCCCGCTAAACCATGCAGCAAAGAGTGAGTCTCTCGCAGTCACTAGATTGGTAATGGGTACATCAACATATGGAGCCTACAAAATAACTAAATCATCCCGACGAGTAAACCCGATACATCAAAGCACTTCTAAGTCATAAAGACAGAAGAAAAATCATTGTGTCCCAAATAGGTGGCAGCTTATCGACAATCATGAGATTTCTCAGTTTCGAGCTGACTAGACTGCGCTAAGGCTTAAGAAAAGGAAAACATTCAGATTTGTAAAATGAGAGTTCACGAACAACTTCTTAACTTATCGACTACCTCTAAGCACAAAAAACCCTAGTTTGTAAGCCTTTATCAACTAGAGGAAGTGGCTCTAAGAATGGAATTGCAAGAGTTTGAGGTCGTTATTCTTTCACGATGGTTGTCGACACGTTCTCTTTTCGCGCTCCTCGCTCCGGCTTTGCTCCAAAGACATTTGCTCTATTCAATCCCCAAAGAATGAAGACATGCTTCTATACAAGGAGATTTCGGTGAAGTTACAAGAAAAACCTCCTCTTTGTCCTCAGTTATCTCCAAGGTGATGATGATTGGAAAGAAGAAAGCAAAGATGAGGAAGAAGAAAATGGAGAAGAACAAGAAGAGTGAAGAAGAAGAAGAAGAAGGGAAGATGATCTGCCAAACCCCTCCAGCAGCTCTAAAAACTCTCTTTCATTCCCTGTGATCACACACATTGTCAAATGATCGCAATGGCCTGGGAAAAATCCCTCCACATGCTTAATATTCTCTAGTTGAAGGGCAAAAAATGATCCCTTACCTCATTTGGTCAGATTCCAGGTGAATACATACACTATTTTGGGCTTAAAACTAGTTAATGACGAATTATCAGTGGTCAGACGACATCCCAGTGGAAATCCAAGGACCACATCGCAAAACAGGAGCTCCCAACATGGTCACACCAGCGTCTCGATGTTTCTATGCTAAGACTCAAGGGAGCCACGAGCTTCCTTTCAGCGTGACCATGCCTAGAGGGCGACGTAATTATGTTGCCCTCTCTTTCTGTTATGCATGACTACACCGACCTCGAGTGTTACACCAAGAGGTGCAGTCGCTTGATTATGAGAAAAGGTTGAGTCTTGTGAAGCATCTTGAGGTAGGGCGTTGGTTGGCTCAGAGAAAAACCTATGTAAATTGCTCAATTCCAATATGATATAAGCAATTAAAAAAATTATGAAGAAAGATGTGGATAAATGATAACTTTTATAAATTTTAGAAGCAAGAAATTATCCTCTAAACCACCCCTCCCATTTAATAAGCATAGATAAAAAGTATATACGAAGATAATAAACCATTTGATGAAACTTCGAGTAAATCCCAAAGCATTTATTCTATGAAATCAAAACTTTCAGGTAACATACAAAGAAATTTTAAATTAATTTTAGAATATAAATATTTAGGTGTACCTGAAGAGTTAAAACCATTTTAATATCCTTGTTAACAATAAAAGCAGTCAGAGCTGAGTGAATGAGTTTTGGAAGAAGCTGTAGTCTTCGTACAAGATGCTTGGCATCAACTTTTTAATTAATGATGTTACAAAGATAGTATAATCTTAATAATTAAGAGATTCAACGTGAAAATTTTAAAAAGTTGAAGTGATATTAAAATGCTTAATAAGAATAGAGAGCTTAGGGATGAGAAAAAATCAATGAACAACCTTAGTAGAAAAAGAACATCTGATCTCCCAAGCATCCTTAAAATTTTAAAATTACAATCATTGAGATGAAGAGCTTTTTGGTTCTTAATATCTAAATGAAAATGCTTGATATCCTCATTAGTAACAACAGTAGAATGATAATTCCACTCATAGAAGAAAAAGATATAGGCAATTGGTATGTCACAATTAGAAATGGTCAAATTATTCATACAAGATAGAAGAGCACAAAAGTATGATATGGCATTAATTGTTTTAACATCGTGAGAGATGAATATATTATATTTGCAAGAAAACTCTTTGATATAATCATGACTCATCATGTTCTTCATTTTATAATATTGGAATTTAAAATCATCCTCATCTTTTGAAAATTAAGAGCATTCACCTAAGCCATTTGTTCTCATAAATGGCCACATCAATTAAAGATTTTTCAGTTCCAGTTGTCTTATGAGGTCAATTTTGAGAAGTTAACTTGCAAAATTTAAAAAATCTTTTTTTTTTACTCTTGAGAGAAGATATAATCTTGATTATGATGTAAGAGAACAAACTTCAATTGGTTGCCTTAAGGGATAACTTGATAATATTATGATAAAAATAAGAATAAAAACTCTTCTAACATGTATGCACTATATTTTGGTGATGATCTCATGAATAGTTTGGAAGTGATAACAATAATTCAAGTACATAAACTAGCATTGAAAGAAGAAGAGACCCTTGATTTAAATAATTTTTGGAGAATGATCAAATTTAAGATATTGGAAGACATTAAGAAGTGAGAGTAGAAAATATTTTAACTAAAATTTTTTACAAATAAAGCTCTATCTAGTAAGAAATTGATGATATTATTCAATTAGTGGTTAAATAAGCAAAAAAGATAAATTGTGTTAGGAAAATCAATGATAACATATTAGAAAATATAGTTTTTGAAATTCACAAATTTACAAGAAGAGAAATGACACCTAATTTCTAATCAAGGGATCTAATATAATTAAAATCTCTCTTATCATGGTATGAAATGAAACATGTTATTATTTCCTTGCTAAGCACAATTTTTAGCTTAAACAACGAGATCAAGAACTAAATAGAATAAGATATGTTTAACCAATATTTGATGAATTAGGAATGTGTAATAAGAGACAAGCAGTAAAAGCATCTAATTTAATCCAAATGTGTTTATCAAATAATAGGTCAAATTTATTACAACTATTACACATAGAAAATATTGTACATTATTTAGTAAAAATATCATTCATAATAGAAGAAAAGGAGAATTTAGTTTTAATGAGGTATGACAGATTAGCCTTGTATTAAGGCTTGTGAACTAGTTCCAAAGCCAGCTCAAATCCGGCTAAAACCATATAAACCATTCAGAAAATTGTTGAACCACCAGTTTAGGTTTACTAGTGAATCAAAAAACCAAAAAAGATTTCAAGGAACCACCTTATCCAATTTTCTCCCACTCACACCATTTGACTTCCTAGATCATTGATAGGTGAAGCTATAATATATTACTATAAGCCCATAAGTTTGGGACTTCTATAACTTACAAGCCTATAAGTATAAAACATGCACAAGTTGTATTATGTTTTGGGCCAACCTATCCAAAGAGCAAGTTATTTTATTATTTATTCCTATACTGTTTATTTTAATATCAATACCTTTTCTTTTATCATCAACTTGTGTATACCTCTTTGAGATGTGGGACTAAAAGCAATGCAAGCATGGGAAAGAGGCATTTTTATTTATAGCCACAAATGTTAGATGTGAAACTTATAAATTTGATATAATGATTTGTATAATCGATTAACCAAATTAATAAATGATTGCCATATAATTAATATGTTTAATATATAAAACAAAAAATATATATGTTTTGTGATTGTAAAAATGCATTTTTTTGGGAAACTTCTTAATAATATATCATTTTTAGTGAAAATACATTTTTATCTAAAAACTAAAATGTAGAATTTTGCTAAAAAATAATAATATTTTCCTAAATAAATTATTATTATTATTATTATTATATGTTTTATATAAAGTATTAAAAAATATAAAAACTTTACTCTTGTTAAAAGAATTTGAGAATATACTTTAAAAAAAAATTATCATTTTTTTACACGAATAATTCGCTCTAAATCATTCGAGAAAAATTAATTTTAATCTGAACACTTAAGCTTTCATATTTCTAAACAGAACATTCAAATCTTTAATATCACCTTCAAAATAAACCATTGCTGAAAGAAATTTGATCGAACTTAACAAAATTGATTAGAGATATGATTAACTATGTTATATTATTGTTTATAACAAACTTTTAAAAACATCAATTATATCTTTTATTTTAATATTTTTAAAGCTAGACTCATCTAAAGCATCAATCATGCTAAATATTATTTCATCATTTCTACCATTATAAATAAATTCATAATTTATTATATCATGCGGTTGAACCCCCACTTTAACCACAATTCAACCTTTCAACCTCTTATCATTTAATATTTATTAAAATAAATATAATATAAATATTCATAAATTTCTCAATATTATAAATAGTCACAAACTCCCATGGAGATGATAATAATTAATCCAAAAAAAAAAAAATGGACGGTCCTGATTCAATCTCAATTTCTAGAACAGACTTTCCCCCCCTCCCCCCACCTGATCATCATTCCCCGCTAACAACCATACAATAATTACTAAGCATATATGTACACCAACCCTACGATCTTTAAGCCTTTGATTCTTCTTGTCCTCTCTCCCCCTTCCCATGTTTTAAAAAACTCCATTAATCCCACCTCATATCTTCAGATCAATGAATCTCACCTACTAATCTCTCTCCCTCTCATTTACATCAAAAAAAAATTATTTCTTTTACCCAAGTAATGTTATAAATGCAGGCCAGCAATATCAACAACTCTCTCATCAACAAAGCTCTCATCTTCTGAAACTCTGCAAAAAGCCTCCTTTCTTTCTTCTTCATCCTCTTCCACCATGCCTGCAAATCACTTCGTCTACCAAACACAGCAAGCTTGGATTTGGGATACAACTATGGAGTCCTACCATCGCCATCAAAACCTGCACCTTGGCGAAGAAATCATGAACTGTGAGAAAGAGCCTATGTTTGAGAAGCCATTAACGCCGAGCGACGTTGGGAAGCTGAACAGGCTGGTGATTCCTAAACAGTATGCAGAGAAGTATTTCCCACTGGATGCAGAAGCAGGGGAGAAGGGTCTTTTACTGAGTTTTGAGGACGAGAATGGGAAACTCTGGAGGTTTCGTTACTCTTACTGGACGAGCAGTCAGAGCTATGTGCTGACTAAAGGCTGGAGTAGATTTGTGAAAGAGAAGCAACTTGATGCAGGTGATATCGTTATCTTCCTCCGCCGCCGTGGAAATGGTGACCGGCTCTTCGTCGGATGTCGCCGGAGAGGAAGCGGACAGGATTCCATTACGGCGGCCTCGGCGGCGCAGTCGCCGGCGATGCAGTGGAACCACCAAAGTCCAAGCATGCCTTCTTCTTCTTACTTGTATCTCAACTCGATTCCAGAAGGTAGGATTCAGTCATTATTAACCATAAAAAAACAATTTTTGTGTATGTTCAGTTACAGAGTGATAAAAATTGGATTTGTAATCTTTGTTTTGTGAGCAGAGGAGCAGAGTTCAGAGGCGACCGTAGCGAGCACGGGGAATTCGAAGAAACTGAGACTTTTTGGAGTGAATTTGGAATGCGGGCATTTGATTTCTGGTTCTCAGGTGATGAACAGAAATGCATCCGGCCATCATCTATAGTAAAAGGTGAGATTTTTAATTCAAATTTTGATTTTTAATAAACGGTATAAACTTACAGGAGATATCAAATATGAATTGTTACAGGAATTCCAAAATGGGTGGAAGAAAATCAGAAGCCATGTTCCGATAATCCCACCAACCAATCCCCACCTCTTACAAGTGACGCTTTGATTGACTTGTGAGGGAACTAGTGAGGGAGATTGAGAAGAATTTGATATGACAGAGAGAAAGAGTATGGGAAAGGAAGAGAGAGAGAGAGAGAGAGAGAGATCCCTGGTTTTCAGGGTAATCTGCAGTGGACTTTTTTTTTTTTTTGGGTGGAGGAAATCAAGTGTACGGTCATGTCTGGTGGGATTGGGTGGGTATGGGATGTCACAGAGTGAAATCTCAGGAAACATCAGGTTGAAAAGGGTAATGCGGAGTGGGAGAGATATGGGCGTGGCCCGCGCACAGTTCAGGCTTCGGACCTTCCCTCTCCATGCCTCCCCTGTAGCTACTGTAATTTCTTTTCTCCTTTAATGGAACAAAGATGGAATCTACTGTTTATTTATTCTACTCCTTCAAACTTACTGCAGATGAGCTGGGCAAGTGTTGATTTCAAGTATTCTGGAATCAAACTTTCACATAATTATGAAACGTGATTGAATTAGCTGAACTGATGAAGAGGAAGCCAAACCGTGGTTGAAATTTTTGACTCTTCATCATAAAAATCAGATTTTTGAGGCTCCAATAATTAGAAACTCATAATAATAATTGCACAAAAGTCTCCATAAAAATTATAAAAAATGAAAAGCCAAAAGTTGGGATGAATCACGTTACTCTAGAAACATCATGTTGAAAATGAGATGAGAGATGTGTGCCTCTCAAACCTCAGGCTTCGGGCCCCATGTTCTCCCCAGCCACACTGCTGTTTTCTATTACTTTCACTCCACAAAAACAAATAAGGAATCTACTCCCACTCACTTTTCTCCCTCACATTTCTCTTTCATTCCAGCTCTTCTCTCAATTCCCCTCCTCTCCTCTCTCTCAGCACTACCTGTTTGCTTTTAATGAGGTGGGCTCAGGTGCATGGTCGCTACTCGTAGCGAATATTAGGTGTGATATTTGCATTTGAGTGTTAGGGATGGCTCACATATCATATAAGATACCTACTGGAACAGAACGAAGCTCGTGAGTGGAGTGGAACTGAAGCATCTGTCCAATAGTTGAAGCTTTTGCTATGTGGGTTGGGGGTGCGCCCCCGCAGTACGTGGCAGAGAAAATTTTGTAATTACATAATATACACCAAGATATATATATATATATAAAATTAGACATCTTGTACTTTTTTTTTTTAATTTTAAAGGAAAAGCTGACATTCTGTTCCTGATGATGTAGACATCTTTGTCGAATCTCATTAAATCTATATGTTTCTTTCTGGATTTATGTCAATTCTTGAATTTTTTTGCCCTAAAATTCTCAACAGTGAGAATTTGTGATATTGAGATAGTATTCATCCTATCTCAATATTATAAATTCTCATCTAATTCATATCTATCTGATCTGCACGTAATAATTTTTCTACTATCAATCATTAGAATTACAATAAAAATAAGAAAATATATACACCAACGCAAGTAAATTTATATTGTTAGTGACCTTTTATGGCAAAGAAGCATGCAAAGGGAAAGATATAGGCATGGGAGAAACTGAACCTTACGTCCCATCAGCTTTTAAGTCTTCAGGCTTCTATATTTATGGTCCAGCTCTCTTCAAGTTGGGTTCTGCCAGCACTAATCTGGTGAATTCAGCTCCTTAAATATGTACTGTTAAGACATATGCACTGCATATATTATCCCTGATTTGCTTTTTGGAGCCATGAGTGGCTGAAATTAGAAGAATAAAAAGCTCAGGGTTAGTGTTGCTTTATTTAGGGTTTTTTAGGGTGTGAGGTTTGAGGCTAAGTAGAATAAGGGGATTTGTGGGCAGATGGATGGAGTGCAGCAAAAGCAAGCACATGGAGAGATGAAGAGGACAGTGGCAAATAATAATAATAATAATGTAATTTAGGTTTCGACCGACAGATTTTTTGAAGGAGAATGGAATGGAAGTTTGTTAATGTAGTGAAGAGTTATGAAAGATATTGTTAATTATGGAGCTTTATTACTGGGTGCAATTATAGACTTAGGCATGCATAGGAGAAATATATACATACATATATATATATACATACATATATATATATATATTTGTGTGTGTGTGTGGAAGAGCCTGGGCCACAGGATTCGAACATAAATATTCTCAATTATATCAGGAACTTTGTGTGTGTGTGTGTGGAAGAGCCCGGGCCACAGGATTCAAACCTAAATATTCTCAATTATATCAGGAGCAAGCACACCAGAGTTTTAAACCCTTTGGGAGAATCGATATTTGGTGTCCACTGGACCAAGATATCATAATTAATATGATGTTTTCAAATGTATATATTTACAAGAGTGAGAAATGATATGTTTTGTTAGCCATAATTAAAAAAGAATAAGATTCTTATGTGTTAATTAAAACATTTCTAAATTCTTTGTTAGTGTATTAACAACTTTTTAAATTTTAAAATGTTGTATTAACGCATAACATTCTTTGTTGTGTGATTAACAGAAGAAAATCAAACATAAATTTTTAAGTAATCATATTGATTGTGTACTTAAAAATGGTTATTTTATGTGTGTGTTATGACAAATAATGTGCTAATTCATTGAACCTAATCCTTGCTTTTGTTGCTTCACCTATCAAAACATAAACTTTTTTTTGCCACTATTAGTGATGCATTGTGATTTGTAAATGTGTCAATTATTTTTACCCAAAATGCTTTCATATAAGTCAAAGTCTTAGCTTCAAAAAATAAAAATATTACCTAATAATAGCAAGTGATTTGCCACCACTTACAAATACAAAGAGCCCAAGCACTAATAAAATAAGCTTGAAATTAAGGAAGCAGTCTCATCATGGAACTCCAAAAAGATTATTATGACCCCACTATAGAAGATGGTGGTAAATGCAACTTCAGATACTATTATACGAGGCTTGTTATAGGATATTATCTTAATAAATATAATTTAAAAATTGAATAATTTATTAATAAATTAAATTTTTTGTTGCCTATTTGCTAGCCATGGATTAATTTTAAATAAAAATTTGAACCAATTTTGATCTAAAGAATATATTCTTAAAGGAGATAAGGGGGGGGGAACATGTGCAATTAATTGCTATACTTAGAATAAGAGGAGATTTCTCTAAGGACTATATGAGAAGAAGTCTCTCCTTCTCATCAATCATATTATTTTTATATTATATTATTATTTATTTAACCTTGAAAGATAAGATAATTTATTTATTTTAAGATTAGTTTTATTGGAGTTTGGAAAGAGTATTTATTTATTTATTTGAATATTTTTTTTTATTGTGAATTGATTCCTCAAAGCTCCTCTGACCAAATACAATTATGATGGCAGAGCAACACATATCCAATGTGTAAAATTTAATATTTATATTTATCATACTCATGAAACAATTTCACTTCTATTTGTAATATTAAATATTTAAACTTTTTATTAATATATTTATAAAAACTAATTGAATTCAAGCTAATTAATCATAAAATCAAACAAAAAAAAAGTTTGGGGATGTTGTAGCTTATTGAATAACCTGCTGATAAGCTAGGTGCGGTGTCTATTACAATTTTTTTATTTTTTTTTTGAAAATTCACACCGCAGCCAGAAAGCTGTCACCGCACCTAGAAAGGAGCAGTATTGTTTTCAGCATTTTGAAAACGCATGAGCTGCCAAAACGCTCAAAACGTCACCGCATCAAATAAGCTGCCCCTAACGGGGCCTTAATTATGACATTTAAGCCCTACAATTAATTATTTATATGCAAAAATTATTGAAGAAATTACTTCTGAGTCTAGTTCAGGAGTTAAAAATCATGGCTGAAGCTTTGATTAATTGAACCAAATAAGCGACAGATTTCTTGTCTGCTCGTCATAGTTCTCACACAATAGAAGCATGTGATGAGAAAGCAATCAGAATCTATCAATTCTTTAATTATTCGACTTTATGCTAATTTGGCTGATTAGGAATAACAGCAGTTCGTAATGCAGGGGATTATGTTAATTAAACGTTAATTATATTGTTATTTAAGAGGAGCGGCGACGTACGAGAAGTGAGGCCGGCGAGGCCGGCGACGTGGTGGTATTTGATTGGCGAAATGTTTTAGTTATTTATAATATGTTTGTGTGTTACATATCGCCACGACATTTTTTTAATTAATATATTCAACCAATTGATTTTGACATTTATAAATGCTTTTGATGGGTGAAAATGTGGGCCTTATAATGATATAATAGTGTCTAATTTACACATGAGGGGAGGGAAATTTTCAATACAGTCCACCTGAAACATGTTATTTACAAATCAAGCATCCATTTTTTCAATATTAAAATTCATGATAAAATTTCGGCCATCTTTTTTTTTTTTAATTGAATTCTAGTTCAAATAAATGATGTTTATGTTTATTTTGTAAATATCAATGTTTTGGATGGTTTGTTTATATAATTGTTAAATTAATGACTTATGATTTCAATTAATTGATTTCTCGATTAGTTTTTTTATTTTATTTTAGATTTCTAATTAGTATTTAGTAAGTGATTATTGAGCTAAACTAAATGAGTTAATGAATCCAATTTTAGGGCATGTTTGGGTCAGTTTATAAGTGCAGACAGCGTTTTGAAAACGTAGTCATCCTGTTTGGTTCACACTTATTCATAGATTATGAAAAACAACGTTTAGAATATTCTAAAAGATGCGGACCGCCTCATCTCATCTTCCTTCTTCGTCCTTTGCATTCGTTCGGGGAATGCGGTTTTCCAAATCATTTATCCATAATCATTTGTTTTGCAAACGCACGAACTAAACAGCCAGCAGCTTATCCGGATCAGCTGCTCATCAGTAGATTATCAGGATAAGCTGCTTATCAGCATAAACTGAATAAGCTGCAACTGCCTCCAAACATACTCTTAGTTTAGTTAATTTTGATTTTGCTCATTAATTCTAAAGCTAGCTAGCAAAAATTAAGATAATTTTTTATTGTATAATTCTGATGTATTTATACATCTAGCATTTAAATTATTAAATCACATAAAAATATCACTGACATAATTTTTTACAAAATAAATTAATTTTATTATTATATAAATAAAAAATATTAAAATAAATGTATATATATTATTTAATTAATATTAAGATCAAATCGGAGATGGATTGAAGTGATTGCAACCTTTACAACACTAAGGTGGAATGCAAATAATAAGGGCCATTTAATGCATACCACTCTATTAATTTTTATTTATTTGTTAATTTAAAACATAAAATTTATTTCTTACATTTATACCACCCAAATCATTTTTGGCTTTAGAAACATAAATACATATGATATGACTGCTCCTCTAAATATCAAGATCTAAAAGATAAAGATGATAATAAATTCAGAGAAAGTAAGTACAGTTAAATCATTTA